ATATATATATATATATATTATTGTCCTTCAATTAGTTGTTAACGTGCATAGTACATACATTGTACCATGATAATAATATCTGCATTGCTCACCAAAAATGGACCTGGTGGGCTTTGAGGGGACCAGGGACTTACCAATTTTCCCTTTCTTCTTCTTATGGGCTCAGAAATGCAAACTTGAACTCTAATACTGTAATTGGATAACACCAAAAATCCTCGAAATCAGAGATATAATAAAAATAAATTAAAAAAAAAGAATCTAAATATTTAAAATTATTTTATTAAATAATTCATGTTTTACAAATTTTAATGATCCAACGGTTAAATTAAAAATTTTAATACATAAATTAAATTTATAATTTTTTAAAATTTTTAAAATTTTTTATTTCGTTTCTTTAATTTAAATTGATAAATAATCGGTATGATTAACCATTAATTTAAATTAAAAAATAAAATATCAAATAATTTTTTAGTTTTTGCAAATTTTGCGAACTTAATATATATGTATTAAGAACTTTTAATTTAATGATTAAATTATTAAAATTTGATGTAAAATATAAATTATTCAGTGAAATAAGTTTAAATAATTTTTTGTCAAAATAAATAGATCTCTTTTCAAATATAAACAACCATTTATTGTACTAGTTCCGTGAGATGAAGCATCCAAACACACATTAACTCCCATAGCAACGTGTTTGCGGCACCCATATACATCCGAGATATTATTCGCTTTGGCACTCATTGAGTTGAGGTGTTGTCCGCTTTGACACCCGTTGAGCCATTACGATTTTATTTTTGAAAAGGTGCCTCATTGGATTAAGGAGAGAGGGTGTTTATAAACTACTCTTAACCTCAATTCCTAAGCGATGTGAGGCTTTTTAGGCATATCAAAACAAGCCCCCCCAGGGACAAGAGTGGCCTAAGCCTTTCCTCTAATGCCAATGTTCCGACTATAAGTTGGTTGTATCGTTAAAGTCAGCACATCTGAGGTATTATCCGCTTTGACATTCGTTGAGTCGTCATGGTTTTATCCTTAAAAAGGCACATCGATTGGTTAAGGAGAGAGGATGTTTATAAACTACCCTTAGGTAGTGTTTGTTTCGGGTGATGTACTGTTTACGAGCAACGAAAGGCGAGAAAAGTGAGTGTTTGTTTCCGGTGATTTGCAACGAATGAAAGACGAAGAAAAGGGGGGAGAAGCACTGTTGCTATCCTCGCACAAAAGTGAAGAAAGGAGAAGAAAGCCATGTAGGATTTGTGAAAACCCGGAAATGCTCATGTCCCATGCATGCATAATCGATTATAGGAAGGAAGCATAATCGATTATGGTTGGCCACATAATCGATTATGGCCTTGCATAATCGATTATGGCCTTGCATAATCGATTATGGCCTTGCATAATCGATTATGGCCTTGCATAATCGATTATGGCTGAGCATAATCGATTATGCAAGGTCATAATCGATTATGTGGCCAAGCATAATCGATTATGCTGGGGTATTTTCGCTTCCAGTGGAACCCAGAACGGCCCATTCCAAAAATGAATTTTATGTGCAAAATGCGAACTCAGAACAGGACGTTTCACTTTGGAAACGGGCCGTTCCAATTTTGGAACGGGCCGTTTCATAGATGGACGTTGTGGGTTAATTTGTAACCTTAGAACGGCCCGTTCTGGTCTGAGAACAGCCCGTTCTGGGTATCAAATTTTGTTATATTTTGTTATTATTATTTATTATTATAAATATTATTATTTTCATTTTTATTAATATTAATATTATTTATTATGATTCTTATCATTTTTCTAATATTTATTATTATTTTTATTATTATTTATTATTTTTTAAATAAATTATACCTATTAAATATAATTTTATTGTAATTATTATTATTTACAATAAATAATAGTATACTCATTTTTAATCCAACGGTAAAAGTGTAAATTATATATTCATCTATTAAATTTTTAATTTTTATCTATCATTAAATTTAAAGCAAATATTTAAATTAAATTATTTTTAAATTAATATTTTATAATATTTTTAGTTAAAATTTATATATTTATCTTTTAATTATAATAATTAAAAACCTTTTTTAACCAAAGGGAAAAATAGTAATTTTACACAATTATCAATTAAAAAATTTATTTTTATCTATCACATCAATCAATTCACTCACAAACTTTCTCTACACTTTCCACTCACTTTTCCTTAATCCAAACAACCTCACTTTTCACTCACTTTCCCTTTAAATCCCTCCTTTTCCACTCCTCCTTTTCCATCCTCAAATCCAAACAAAGCCTTAATCTTGATTCTTAAGTGATGTGTGACCTTTTAGACATATCAGAACACAACCTAAATCCAATTTTTCAATAAAAAAAGTACTACTTTTAGATGAAAATAACTCACTGATACTTTGGAAAATAAAAATACATTAATAACTAAAATACCATAATAATTGGATACTATCATATTAGAAATTGTTATTATTTAAATATTTTAAATCATATAAAATAATACCCAATAAAAACATCTAAAAAAAACAATAATACACAATAGCTCTTATTCTACAAACTCCTTTTCACTAGTGATTTTTTGTTGTCCTAAAGGCAATCACCTCTCCCTCTATATTAAGGTAATTTTAGTAAATTTATTTATAAATAAAACTTATTATTTTAGTAAAAAAAATTTAGTAGTATCATTTGAGCATTGTTTAATTAGCTGGTCAATTAAAAATTTTATTTATAAACAAGACCCATACATATTTTAATGTTATTATTTGGTCTTTAATTTAAGGTTTGATTAAAAGACAAGTTAGAGGATTATATTTGAGTTAAAAATATGATTGGTTGAATTTGTCTTGATTCGTATTTAAGAACATTTTGGTAAATAAGTGATTAGACCAATTATTTTTATTAGGATTTAAAATCATCTTGGAGTTTGACAAAAAAGAGAGAATAGATAAGAACCATATAAGAAAAAAGATATGAGCTAATTGGTACAAATAAGTATTATATGAGTGAAGAGTACAAGTGAACATCCAGTAAATATATTTTATCTTCTTTTCTCTAAAATTTTAATTTTCAATGCGGCAAAAACCA